AAAAAAAAAAAAAAATGAATAAATAAATAAATAAAATAAAAACCCTTGATCATAACCGCACAGCCCCTCCTTGGATGCCTGGGCCTCACTCACGTGACCAACACTCGCTTCAAATGCTCCCTGTGTGGACACGGCCACCGGGACTCCGCGTGCTGAAGCTCTGATCTCAGCCTCTGCCCTGCACCTTGAACATTCCAGCCTTTTCTTCTGCCCTCCCCACCCCCTGGCTGCCCCGTGACAAATGAACACACCCTAGCTCATCATGACGTCGCTCACCTCAAGGCCTCAGCCTACACGGCAGGCTCTGCCTGGAGTTCCATTCTTCTGGAGCCTCCACCGAACTCCTACTCGTGCTACAAAACCCAGATCCCATGCTCCATTTTCAAGAAGGCTAGCCTGGGCGTTCAGCAAAGTCTGCAGGATTTCCCCCTGCACCAGACTCCCTGGGCTGTCTCTGCCCCTCTGTCCCAGGACGTGTCCTGAGACTGGGGTTTGAGCCTGGGAACTCAGGTCTGTGTGGGTCATAGGCTAAGTTCTTAACCCGGTCCTGGGGACGGGGGATGCTAACGCCTTCACTGGCCTTCTGGGACCCCTTGCAGCTCCCTGAGTCCCAGTGTGCTCTGGGAGTTTTGCCAATTCTGAAGGCTGAGAACAGGGTGCGGCCCCACCCCTCCCCCGGCCGCCCCTCCCCCGGCCGCCCCTCCCGGAGGCCTCCGTCCATATAAATCTAAATCCCCACCCAAGACCCTTCCAACCTTGCTCCCAGCCCAGCTGGGACCTTGGAGCTGCCGTATTGAATGGACTGATGGAATCTGGGAGAGTGAGACCCGCAGGCCCGTGGTAGGAGTGCCACCAATGACCACGGAGGGCTCCCTGTGCACCAGGCAGGCGGTTACCCCTGAGCTGCTTCACTCCGTCGGAGCCTGTCGCAGCCCCTGCGCCCGTTCTGGACAGGAGCAGGTGCCACGCGGGGAGAGGGGCCAGCAGCTCCTGGCACCGTGCACCGGCACGCCCCACACCTGCCTCCGCTCCCACTGCACCTGCCTGTGCCGTGGCCAGGAACGGCCACGCTGTGCTCAGGGCAGCCCAGTGAGATGGGCCGGGCCTGGGAGCCACAGTCTAGATGGCGGAGAGGCCGGGGCTCAGCCTCACATCCGACTGAGCACCTACCAAGTACTGCGCCTCGATGTGGCTGCGGTTTTTTTTTTCTAATTTTTTTTATTTTTCTGAGATGGAGTTTAACTCGTCGCTCAGGTTAGAGTGCGGTGGCGCGATCTCAACTCACCACAACCTCTGCTTCCCGGTTCAAGCGATTCTCCTGCCTCAGCCTCCCTAGTAGCCGGGACTGCAGGGGCGCACCACCACGCCGGCTAATTTTGTGCTTTTGGTAGAGACAGGGTTTCTCCATGTTGGCCAGGCTGGTCTGAAACTCCTGACCTCAAGGGATCCGCTTGCCTCAGCCTCCCAAAGAGCTGGGATCACAGGAGTGAGCCACCGTCCCCGGCCTTTTAACTTTTTTTTTTTTTTTGAGACATTGTCTCAGTCTGTCACCCAGGCTGGAGTGCAATGGCGCGACCTCAGCTACCGCAACCTCCGCCTCCCAGGTTCAAGCGATTCTCCGGCCTCAGCCTCCTGAGTTCTTAACCCAGTTCCCCCAGACATACATGGTCCGGCTGGGATCCCAGGCACGCACCACCACGCCTGGCTCGTTTTTGTATTTTTAGTAGAGACGGGATTTCGCCATGTTGGCCAGGCTGGTCTCGATCTCTTGGGCCTCAAGTGATCTGCCCGCCTCGCCCTCCCAAGTGCTGGGATCAGCAGCCTGAATCACCGCACCGGGCTGGGCCGATTGTTTTTAATATTATGAATGTTAACGTTTTTGTTACTGTTGTTAACGAAACTGAGTTGTGGAGCCCTTAAGCAATCTGCCTGAGTCCAAGCAGCAAGGAAGTGCAAACACAGGAAGGAAATACAGGTCTTCACCTCCCTGCAGCTCTTTCTCCTTCCATTCTCCTTATCAGTGAAAAAACAGAGAGGGACAGCAGCTTGCCTGAGGTCTCACAGCAACTAGGAGGTGGAGCAGGCTGGAGAGCCTGGCCCTGCCGCTTCCTGCCCCACTAATTGGAGGCCTGGATCTAAGGGGGAAGGAGACCTCTCGGTGCTTCTAGGGGGAGACCGGAGGAGCAGGGAAGCCTCCCGCCACCCGCCACCCGCCCGCCTGCCTTACCCTCACTGGGCCTCCGGACGAGCGAGTAGGCGGGGCCGGCCACCCTGGTGCAGTCGTGCTTGATGAAGCCCACCGTGGGCGGCAGGACGTACAAGCCTGGCCCCGAGCCTGCAGCCCAAAGCCCTCAGGTCACTGCCTGGGCCCAGATTCCCCGAGGAAGGAGCCCCAGACCCAGCTCCTGAGCCTCAGCCTGGGCTCCCCTCTCCCTCCATGGTGACGGCTGGGGTCTGGGGAGCCAGAGGCTGCCGCCCTCCGTGGACAAAGTGTGAGGCCGGCATTGTGAGTCAGACACGGATCACAGAGGGAAGGCTGGGGTAGCAGGCCTCACCCTGGGGCACAGGCGGGGAGACCGGGACCTCCCAGACATACACAGTGAAAGGCAGCGACACTGCGCCTCCCAGAGATACAGGGTCACAGGTGGGGACTCTGAGGCCTGGGCCTCCCAGAGGCACAGGGTCACAGGTGGGGAAACTGAGGCCCAGGCACAGAGATACAGTCACAGGTGGGGA